ATTATGGGGGGGTCTGGTTTAATCCTGGGGATGGTCCCAGTTTGAGCCCAACAGATCCCAGTCTGATCCTGGGGGGCTCCTGCTCTAACTCAGGCTCTTGGTCCGACCCGGGGAGTCTCTGGTCGGGGTCCCCTCGGGGTCTCTGATCGGGGTCCCCTCGGGGTCTCTGTGTCCCACAGATCCGGAACCTCAACAGCGGCTTCTCTCGGCTGCGGAGCCTGGTGCCGCTGGTGCCGCGGGACCGCCGGCCCTGCAAGGCCGACACGCTGCGGGCAGCGGCCCAGTACATCCGCCTGCTGCGGGGCGTGCTGCGGGACACGGGGGGACCCCCAAAGCCGGGACACTGCCAGGTGGGTACCCCAAACCCGGGACACTGCCAGGTGGGTACCCCCAAAGCCGGGGGGCTGCCAGGTGGGTACCCCCAAAGCCGGGACACTGCCAGGTGGGTACCCCCAAACTCACCCCCCACCGAAACACCCGCACCAGCTGGGGGAAAAAATGGGGGATTTTTGGAGGCTGATGGAGATTTTGTTGATATTTTTCATCTCGGAATCAATAGTTCAATGTGTTTTCAGTCATTCAATTATTGTGGGGCACCCCAAAACTGAGCCCTGGGCTCCAAACCCACTTATAATTGGATTTTGGCGGGGCTGGTGGGGGGAGTTGCCAGGTTGGGGATGGGTACATGGAGGGAGGGACATATTTATTCCAATTCCTTCTGATCTTTTAATTTGGAATTCAGGTTAACAATAAATATAACAGCTGCGGGGGGGAAAACACCCCAAAACTGACCTCCAGCATATGGGGACCCCAAAAACTGACCCTCCATTTCCAAACTCCCCTATAACTCTGGGGTTTGGGGAGGCTCATGGGATTTTTCTTGATATTTTTCAGCTTGGAATTAATTTAATAATCAAAATTAAATTGAATTATTATTTGAGGAGGGACTTTAAAATGGACCCCCTATAAAGTGGGCTTTGGGGGATTTTCACTCTTATTTTTCAGGTTGGAATTAATTTAAAAACAAACAAAAATATTATTGAGGATAAGCCCCAAAACTGACCCAACAACCCCCCTATAATTTGGGGGCCTGGTGGGGATTTTCCTGCTTGAGGTTTTTGAGGTTGGAATTAATTTAATTATTCAATTGATTAATTATGGGGGTAATATTGGGGGGGGGTGTTATTACTGGGGGGCCTCCCCCTAATTCTAATACATTTTTTAATTCCCATTTTGCCAGGAACACAGCAATGAGCAGGAGTTGGGGGACGCTGGAGGGGTGTCCCTGGGGGGGCCACCTGAGAGCTGGCCTGGCAGTGCCCCCCCGTGCCCGTGGGGACCCCCAAGCCCGGGGCACTGCTGAAGAGTGAGGGGATGGTGAGTGGGGGGCACCTGGAGAGGGTCAGAACACCTTGGGGGGCACCCTGGGAATTTGGGGAACACCTGGATGGGGGTGGATCAGCTCGGGGGAGGCACCTGGGGGGGGACAGAGCACCTTGAGGGACCCCCCCGGTGGTTTGGGGGCTCCTGGGGGGGGACAGAGCAGCCTTGGGGGGTCACCCAGGGGGTCCGGGTTTGGGGGTGCATCTGGGTAGTACCAACATAAACAAGGGGGGCTCGAAATCACCTTTTCCCAAAAAATATTCCAAAGGTGAGAAAAACCTTTATTTTTCTCCTTTTTTTAAGGTTTTTCCTGACATCCCTAAAAATCCGGGGGGCCCCGCCGGGGTCTCCCCCGAAAGCCAAGTTCAAGGCTCCAGTTCCCATTTTTGGGGTCACGC